CGTTACAAAACATTAACACAGAACAATGCGCAATGTAACGACGATCAATCCTAATATCATGGAGGTGCAATGATTTCAATATTAACTAAGTTTTATCAGTTACTGTAAAGATTATGCAATTTGAATATCAATTATATACATTCTTCTATAACAGTATCAATGCTAATGAAAGTACTAATAATATATTAAAATGCCTAACAAACCGATAACACTGCAGTAGCAAAAATTTTAGCACTGATGCGTTGTATTATCTTTAACGATTATACTGAATATTACGGTTACTCTCTGCTTTCCGCTGGTAGGGACAATATTATTAGCACCGTTAAAGGCAACAGAACCTGTAATGAAACTATTCCTGCGCTAGTGGTACGGTTATTAATACTGCTGGAACTACTGCTATTATTTGCTTGAGTACGGGTATAGCTGTTTTCAGCATTAGTTGTAATAATCGTGGTCCTAAAGACTACTGGTACTAGCGTTATTAACTGCAGCATAATGGGAACACTTCAAATAACGTATGAAAATATCGAATTTTTGTTAAACTAAGAATATACGAATCTGAACCAACGACGGGCTTCTGGGCGATCAACGAGCAGACAGGCGACTAGCACAAGTAAAGCAGTGTTAACGTTTAGTCTAATCGTTACAAATACTGTCTCATGGTCAAACTACAATTTCTAATAGGCTCACTGCTCAAGCTTCTATAGCTGTATATGTCGATGGCGACAACTACTCGAAACCGGTTAATCTGCCATTCGTATTATCGTTACAAAAGCGAATACTCACTTCACCAGCTCCATAGAATAAGAACTTATGCTGGGTCAAATCGAGATCCGTAATTTTCGTAGCAGTGAGCAAGCCTGCAAGTGCTACAGAAGCCGTGCCTAAAAAGAGTATTCCGTTTAATAAATGTTTTTTCTTAACCGGTCGGCTTACAAATATACTCGTATAACAAGCTGATAAAATACTCACGAACGTAAAGATTCAGTTGTTAACAAGTTATTCTTGACAAAAACAGTACTATAATTGGTATCAGGAACACCGGGAATCTGTTCTTAGTACATTACGCTAATCCGATCAACTGAAACCTAAAAATACTTTACGTGATAATTAAGCACCAGTTTGGACTCGATAAGGATATATAAAATCAAGGTTAACTGCTCATCTACCGCGCCATTTTATGGTAATCCACCTAAGTAGCTATATAGAGTACAATGGTACACGGCGATCAAACAGAAACGAAAATACACGATGGGCTGAGCAAATAGCTCAACTCCCCAATAGACGATTATCGTGACTTGTATCCTAACGGGTGGATTAGATCGCCCTGTAGACCAGCACGACAGTGGAAAAACTATATCCATAGCCGGGAAAATCGCGTTTGGAGAGAAGTTCGAAATCGAGAGAAATGACGAGTGTATTGCGGCCGGCGTGATTCGTCGTCAATTACTGGTCGGTCTAAGCAGTGCAGTACAGTATCAGATAAATAAACGGGTTCCAATGGGTAAAAAAGAAAATCTCATCGCGTTTTTTCAAATTACAAGGAACAGATCGCTGTAGAGCAACGCCAATCACTAGCGTTATTCATGTTCTCGGAGCAACAAATCTCAGCGTTTATGCAGATTAATTTATTCACAG